GCAGGCCAATGCTGAAACCACTGAGCTATCCCTGCCCCAGCTTAGACATTTGATGATCACAATTACTGTGTGTTATGTTTAATTTATCTAGGTATTTCTAACGTTCCCCACACTGTTATCTGAGCGCCAAGCTGTTTTGAGTACTCCCCAGTTCCACAAACACTATTTCTGCAACATGACTAGAAAAACCTTCAACCAACCCAAAATGTGGAGAGCTCTTTCAAACTTTTATTGCTTTCTCCCTTTAGGAGGGTCGGAAAGCTTAGTATTATCTTGTCTTGAGTCTTCCAGTGATGTTACATTAGGGACAAAACTAGGATGAGTGAGCAGGGAGGGACAGATTTCCAAAGGGCATAGCTGTTCAAGAGCAGGTCTCATGGGGGAAGTCAAACTGGGGATTGTCCTGTGGAGAAAAGAAGTAATGTTACATGATTAGTTTTTTCAAAGCTTTCTGCTAGACTGAGCTGCTTGATGACTGCACTTGATGAAGAACTTAAATCAATGCCTACTGACATAAACCTAAGCTGAGCAGTTGAATACCTGCTTTGAAAATACTCCCCAGGGTGTCAATGAGAATTTCACTGTCATTTGTGAAGATTTTTCTGTGCTGCAACAAATGCCTGAGATTCTTTTCATATCATTAAAGTAAAATGCAGACCACAGAGTCCCACCCAGCACCAACACCTTGGTTTGTATTCCTCATCTCATGCTACTGTGCATACGTAAAGAACTGAAAAATGGAGAAGGTAGACAGAATACAAATAGAAGAGGGAGCAATCAGATAAACTGAAAAACTAATCTGTGTTTACAGCTCTCTGCAGAATGTAAAGAGGGGCATTTTACAGTAACTGTCTATTCCTAATACACCCTATATCAACTTATTCCTGAGCAGACTGGTTTATAATTACTAACATTCTTATGCCCTCTGGCGGCTGCTCTGAGTTCTGGTGAAAAAGCTCTAGAAGCTCTCAGTGCTTCTTAGACATATACTATATCTCAGGGGTTCTCAACCTTTTCCTTTTTGGGCCCCCCCCCAGCATGCCATAAAAACTCCACGGCTCACCAGAGCCACAATAACTGTTTTTCTGCATATAAAAGCCAGGGCCGGCATTAATGCGTAGCAAGCAGGACAGTTGCCCAGGCCCCACGCCACAGGACCCCCCCCCCAAAGCTACATTGCTCAGGATTCAACTTCAAGCCCTGGGTGGCAGGGCTCTGGGCTTCAGCCCCATGCAGTGAGGCTTTGGCTTTCTGCCCTGGGCCCCAGCGAGTCTAATGCTGCCCTGCTTGGCGGACCCCCTGAAACCTGCTCATGGCCCCCCAGGGGGCCTTGGACCCCTGGTTGAGAACCACTGGGTGGATCTTATATCTTGGAAAGTCTGTCCTGTTGAGTAACCTTCAGGTGACTGCACTGGCTGAAAGTTGAAGGTTATGCTAATGACTAGCTTCCAGGCTATCTCTGGAGTTCTTTGTAGTGTCCACCATTGAATAACCATCAGCTGACCTCTTTTTAATATGAATAGCGAAAGATGTGCATGCTAGTAAATATTCTGACATTCCGTAATGTTATTAGGACTGTTGGCAAGCTCTCAAAGTGGTTTTGCATATCTCCTCAAATGAAGAACTGATTTTTACGTCAATCAGCCAGTTTGAGCAGCTAAATAACATGCTCTTTGGTTTCGCAAAAAGAACTGGTTTAGCTGGCTTTCTTTAATGGCTGTCAGGTTTTTCAGTAGCCTGATGTTGCCAATATTTCATATGAACAGCAATAGTATTGGCCAAAAGGAGACTTGGGAGTCCTTTGTCTCAGACTTAAAGACCTAAGTAATGATATCCCATAATATTAACTCCCTGCTGAATACCTGTCTAGTTCATGTCTTACTGCTGGACTTCGAAAAGCCTGATCTCTAACTGGATGTACAATTGATGCCATCCATGATGAGCAGAATTTTAAATAATGTAGCTAAAGTTCTAGTAAGTAAGAAGTAAGAGTAAGTAAGAAGGTAGTGGTGTGGATAAGGAAGTAGGGAATAAATATGGTTCATACTGGATGTGACACTATGGTACTAGGTAGGTCCAACATGCTGCTCGTGTCTGTCAACATATTGTAGGACCAGTAATGTTAGCCCTGCTGTATTACTGATGTTATCGATAACATGTGATGCTATTTTCCTGTAGAAGTGAACTAGTTTTAGGCACTTACTATCTCCGAGTATGTGGTTTCCAAATTGAGTGGCATAGTGTGTGACAAGTGCTGGGAAATACTTAGCAGAGCAGTTAATGAACTCTGTCCACAGCAGAAAGGATGTGACAGAGGACTTTGAAATAGTTTCCTAGTGTACAATTTCTCATGGGCAATAATGTTAAGTCTGTACTTTGTGACTTACTGTTTTATAACAACAGGTTGATATTGTAAAACATCCTCTATCTATGGCTCTCAAACCTCCTTACTAAAAATGGCTTGTCACTGGGGCAGTGTGAAAGTGATTACTATACCCATTGTGTGTATTGGGGAACTGAGGCCCAGACATGCTGTATGAAGTGTTGTTGTGAAGAGCTCTGTATAAGCTCGAAAGCTTATCTCTCACCAACAGAAGTTGGTCCAACAAAAGATATTGTCTCACCCATCTTGTCACCCATGCATGCTGTCATTTCCCCAAGGAAGTTAGAAGCAGAACCAGGAGTATACCCAGGAGTACTGACTCCAGTCCTCCACTCTGATAGTCAAAGGCCCAATGGCCCTTGCAGAGTTTTCACCATATTGTCCTACTGGGAGTGGGGGTGAGAGCCCTGCAGAACAAACTGGGGACTCAGGAGGCCTCCACACAAGCTCTGATTCTTCCTCTTCCTCCATCGAGTCACATGGCTGCCAGGGAGGTGTGCTATCAGCTGTCCTCAGAATCTCCCACAAAAGATGGGAGGGTGCCAAAGCTCGGAAAGGGGCTGTGGCAGTTAATGCCTCAAGCCATGCCTGCCTTGCAGGATGGAAGTGGGGTACTGTGATCACATACAGCTCTGTGGAAGAGGCACATTTCCCCAGCCACATGGTCAGAGGCAGATCTGCACACAGTAACCTGGCCCTGCTTTAATTTCGCATGGTTTGTCTTTTTTAAATCAAGGAAATTGATCAGAAGCTACAAATACATGGACAGTTTCTATCAAGTCAAAGATGGACAAACCTAGAAAACTTTATATCCCGGCAGGAAAGAAATTGCACTTCTGGAGGAGTGGGCCAGATCCTCAGCTCGTATAAATTGGCCTACCTCTGTTGTTTATACCAGCTGAGGATCTGGCCCATTATGTCTTTCAAAAATCTCCCTGCTCTAGGCATAATGTCTTTGCCTTTGTGATTTTATCTATTCAGATGAGCTTTTGTGTACAGTACTCTCTAAGGGGCAGTGTTTCAGAATGGAGGCATCTGATTCTCCAATGCCAAAGTCCTGTTGCTTCACTTCCTTTTTATTTTATAAAACACTGTCTTCATTAAACAGTACCATTCTGTGATGTCAGGCACAAGGAATCTTTTTTTAAGGTGTGCAAAATAAATCGTTAGCTGGGAATTAATATTTAAATGTAGGGATTATCTTACATTGCAGGTATTGGAGCAGTGGCCTTTTGTTATATATTGTCTCTGTGTATAACATTTATCATTAACATATGGTGAGATTAAAAAAAAGACACATTTATATTCCTGTTTTCTTCAGGTGTCAGTTTTATAAGAATCTTCCTGGTTTCAGTTTATCAGTCTCTCCGAGATTTATTGTTTAACCCTTAAATAGTAAAATGTTTCCCTGCATTCATCATTACAATTGAACTGTTGCAATGTCCTTGAATTACTTCTCTAACTTCCTGCACATACACAGACCCCTTAAAAATATGGATAATCTCAAGGAGAAAAGAGATATTTGGATGTCAATTTTATCTTAAAATAGCTTTTTCTGAAATTTAGCTTTTGGGCTAGATGACTCTTTGCCACTCTGAATATCAGCTGGTTGTCCTGGAGTAAAGGTAGCTTCAATTTTTCTTTATGTTCTACAAATATAAGAGAAAAGTTCAAGGTTACAGTTAGCTGGTGCATTTGAAATTATTTGCGCTTTAGTTGTTGAAGGAAAAATATATACAAGATGGTACTAGGTGTCTGCCCTTAGTTGATGTTTTATAGGAGCCTGTTACCTTGTTATCTAACATCATTTATTGTGAAGGTAGGCTGCAGATTTTTAGGTTTTTATCAGGGATACATTTTGCCACTGGAAGGAAGAGGTTTCTCTCTATATAATGTTATCTGAATTAGCACTCATATCTCTGAAGCAAAGCATACAGTTTAGGGCTTAAGCATTAGGGCCAGAATCAGGTGCATAATTGTGTAGCTAATTTTTATGCACAATTGCCACAATCCCTGATGCAAATTAAATGTTTTGTACACCCAGATGAATATTTAGACACCCTGTCAACCGTTTAAACATCATGTTGCTGCTTTGTATGTGAAGTTGCTTTAATTGTGAGGCAGACTTTGTGCTTGCTGCCCTGTGCTTTCAATGTTTTGAAAATCGGGCTCAGCAAGTATCATTTCTAGTCCAAATGAGAGAGAACTAGGATAATATACAACCCCAAACCCAGGATTTTGGCGCTGCTTGGTTGTGTTGTGTCCAGTTCCTGGAAGATGTGTCCACATCACAAAAACCATCCCCCACAACTAACACTATTTGCCACTCTTGTTGGCAGCCTCAGCAGGGACGTCAAGCTCTGAGTGGGCTTGGAAACTGAGTTACTCTTTCTCCCATATGCAGGTCCATGTTAAGGCCTCTTGCCCTGCTTCTGCCCATTCTGTACCTGTTGTGTGGATAAACAGAAGCCTTCAGTCTCCAAGGCTATTACTCTCGAACCTTTCGCCAGCACTAAATTCACTCCATTGCGTACAGCTGTGCGACATGAAACTCCGAGCAGTCTGAGCAGCGTCAAGCAATGCAAGCATTTTATTTTGTTTTTAAATCCAATTTCAGGTTGGTCCATTCAGGTCCTGGTAAGGGATCCCCACAATCTGGGGTGGATTTATCTTTTGCAACGCGCACTGGTACAAGGCAAGGGATTGAAACCCATCTCTTCAGGACAGAGACTAGCAGAGACCTCTCACTGTGGACAAGGAACATAGTGCAGGGCTGCCACAATTCAGCTGAGCTGATCACGGAAATCACAACCTGTGAGTAACACTTGGAAGTTCTTCTTTACGTTGAGTCACTTTGGCATTTGCCCGTAGGCCTGTTTCTCAGTGCGAGAATCAAAATGCTGGATCTGTGATCGTTAGTCCGGGATCAATGCTTGGAGAAGTTCGTTGGTTTCTCCAAGTTATTTCCACTGGAGCTGATTGAAACTTCAGAATGTAGATGAAATGTTACTGTGAAAAGTTTATTGCTGCTTTTGCAGCCAGCTCTTAACTTCTATAGTAACCGTGGCAAATTGTGTGTTTTCAGGCCCCCTATGGTGTCATTCTGACTTCCATTTTGCTCTTTTCGTCCTCATTCTGATACGAGTCTAGCAGCCAATAATGCATGAAGTGCTAGAGTCAGAGATGGGGACCTCATGCCTTTGGGAAGTGATTGTCATGATGAGAAAGGAAGGGCTCCTGCTGCTGCTATGCTTCTCTTTCAAAGGCCCACAGCTCTGTGACCCCTGGAAGGAACAACCTCATGGAGTAAGAGGAGATATTGGGGGGAGGGAGTAAAGATTACTGGTGATCTGGTTGGGGCACCTGTCTGAAAAGAAGAGTGGGTAAGGCAGGAGCCATAAATGTCCAAAATTCACAAATAGATATTGGCCATTTACCCACCTTGACCTGCTTTTTTTAAAATAAAAAGGGGGGGGGGAGTCTAATAACAATGGGTGCAAACCACCTCCCCTTTAAGACAACCTACCTTCCTTCTAAGATGCAGTCAAGATTGAGTGACTGAGCACGGCAGTCTCTCTTCTTAGGGCTTGTCTACATGGGGAAAATGGCATAGCTATTCTGGATTATCTCCCTGTCTGGATGCTCTCATTCTGGAATAAAAGTGTCCACAAGCAGAGTTATTCCAGAATAGCAATAGGGCTTCAAATTCACACCTCACCTTATTTCAGATGAACTTCCCTTGCGGACAAGCCCATATTTTGGTCAACTGAACTTAAATGCCTGGCTGAGCCCCCTTCACCCTGCCGTTCCTATTTGTTGGTTTGCCTTCTTACTTGTTCAAAGGGGTGCAGTTCTCGCTGTTCAAGACCCATCCCCAAAACCTGTAAAATCCTTGTTTTGTGATCTCTTTGTCACCCACTCTTTCCTTTCATCAATGCTCGTAAAATTGGGTACTCCATCAATTTTACTTGAAGGTCTAAGACTCATCTGGCACTCAGTCCCCGAGCTAACCTAAAGGTTAAATCAGCCATGCTGCAGAATTCCTGCTGCAATAGATGCTGGTTACAATTATCAGGGTCTTTTTTCAATTACAAGGAAACTAATTAGTACTCAAAAGTGTCTTCATCTTTGTTGAAATTCTTCAGTGATTCCCTTTGCAGCTTTTAACTTTCAATGCTCATTTGGTGCTTGAAAAGAGAGGCTGACTCTCTGAATGTCTGTTTTGGAAGCAGGGGTGCTACCTGAATCTTAAGGTTAATGAGATTTTCTTTTGTATCTTGGCATTCAGAGATGCACACAAACACGAAGGGTGAGACAAATTAGGTCCAGGGGAATGACCTTTTTTATTTACTCCCTACAACACCCAACAAATTAATTTAACTATATATATTTGGGTGTTGTAAAGCAGAATGAATTTCAGTAGTCTTTCACAGGCTGGAGGCATAGAACAAGGTCGTGATTAATTTACTGTAGGTCTGTACCAAATGTGAAGTTTCACCAGGTATCAGTCAGTTCTCAGAGTTCTGCTTTTCATAGTCCTTCTCCACAGCTCTTCAGTCCAGCCTTTAAAAATAACACTTTTGTTTTAGTGCTAAGTGGTATAAACTGTTCTAATTTTAGGGCATGTCTGCACAGCTCTGATTTTGTGGCCAATGACAGGCAGTTATCTTAACTGCTTACAAGTAACACAGCTCAGTTTACATCATCCACTCACCTGCCTTTCTTCCGTCTACACCCGACACTTATCTGCCTAGCTCCGTCCTGACAAAGACATTCATGTCAGTTGATCCACTGTGCCTCTGTAAGGAGTAGTGTCCTGAGGAGGTGCCCATGAAGCCAGATCAGCTGCTCACGGGGCAATGCATTTGGAAGTGTCCTGGTGCAGAGAGGCAGCCTCTTGGGAGAAAGGAGGACCAACCAGAGTAGTTACTCAGACCAGGAGTAGCAAAAGCTTCCTACAAGTGTGTGGGGGGGGCCACCAGCGCCCAAACCATGGCCACACCACCCCTTCCCACCAAGCCCCCACCCTGCCCCTTCTCCCTAGTCCCCACCCCACGCCGGCTCTTCCCGCCAAGATTCCAGTCCTCACTCGCTCCTCTCCCCACACACCCGTCCCTTGCCCTGATAGCTGGTAAAAAGTGGGAGGGCCAGCCCCCCCGTTCCGGCACCCCTGACTCAGACACAATTTGGGGTTCTGTCTGTACTGCATAAAACAAACCCATTTGAAACACTTATGGAGAGGATTGCAGAGAGAACTTCAAACTAGAACATGTAGCTATCTTTGAATAGTTAGGAACAGAGTATGGAGCAACTGATCTCATATTGGAGGTCAGGGGAAGGCATAGTACCCTACAGGTACATGAGGGGCTTATTTCCAAGTAGAACTCCAGGCAGATGAAGGTAAAGACTGCACTCCTCTTGAGCAAGGAGTCAATCATTCAGGTAAGTATACCTATAAACAGTCCATGAGCGGCATTGTGGAGGTAACCAATAGCCTTGCCCTGCTGAGCACAAGAACAGCAGTAAACAGATCAGAAGGAACAACTAATTTCACCCACTCTCTATCCCTGAGCAAGAGCAAAGGATGAGGAAGGGCTTTACATATGCCTGATGGAAATTCAGTTGAAAGTTAACTGGTTCCAGTTGGCAATCAAATTTTGGAACAGAGCCAGGGCAACTCATCCTTTTGTAGACATCACAGACCAGCAGAAACCAAGAGAATCCTGTGAAAGGACTCTAGTGAAACCTACTAGAATTTCCATGGGAATTGGTACTATGTGTGTGTGTGTCTATTAAGTATAAAACACACACAACTATATATGTTAAAGGAAACTCAGTGAAAGCCAATTAAGGAATAGTGCCTCTGGAATACAGAATAAAAACACATAAAATCCGACATTCAAATCCACACCGTCTAGTTCTTTAGCTACTCATCTCCAATCACCAATCTCATACCCACACTACTTTAACTCTGTTTCAGAAAAGTGGCTTGAGTTTCTGTCTATAAAAGAATGTTGGTTTCTTTTTAGTTAAATAGAATTTGGAAGAGGTTTAAAGCAGGTCAAAATGTGGACATAGACAGGGTGACTCTGTTTCCTTTAAAAGGTAGTTTCCTTGTTAATGTTGTAAGTAGAGTGGATAATAAGTCACCATAGATGTGAATGGTATTTTACAAATATAAGCTTCTTAAGGGCAGGGGTTTCATAATCTCAATTTTGTTTTTCATATTCAGCTTGCACCTACAAAAACCAGGAGTGCCATTTGACCATCCATTATGAACATGGATTCTCTCTCACAGTTGAACCACAAGATGGTGCCTTGTCCAAAACAATTGCACAGTGTCCCTATGAAAAACTAAAAATGTCTTCAGATGATGGCATTAGGATGCTTTATTTAGACTTCGGAGGCAAAGATGGAGAATTTGTAAGTACTGCATTTAGCTATGGGAATGCAGGTGACCATTTGTGCATGCAACTATTACAAGCAATTATTCTTTGCATGATTAGCATGACAGTATGCTCAATGGAGCTGCCTGTCCTTGAGTTCGTGGTTTGGGGCAGGCACTTACAAGCAAGCTAACATAGGTTAAATATACACGTATGGGTGCCATGATTTCTGGTAATCAAAACGTAAATTGTTCCGTGCACTGTTGAACTCCTAAAGTAATAATGACTGATATCTATTAAAATTTATAAGGAAATTGGCTTTATCACGATTACATGGACCTGTCCTTAGAAAGAGTCAATAAAATAAAAATGGGGTAGGGATAAAATGGTAAAACCATGCAAGGAGGGAAGAATGATTTCCTGTATTTAGGGACAAATTGGGTTCCATGGTGGTCAGACACTCCAGAGTTTTTGCATTTGTATGCATCAATCTGTAAACACTTATGAAAAATGCAAACACTTGTTAACTAAAGGACTGATTTTCAAACATGCTCAGCACCCACAGTGACACTTATGGCCAGATTTTCAAAAACACCTCAGCCACCAATCTGTTGTGCACTTTTGAAAACCTGGCCACTTATTTTGGTGCCTAAATGGACTTTAAGCACTTATGAAGATCTGGCCACAACTGTGGGTGCTAAGTTCTTTTGAAAATTCAGTCCTATGTCTCCAGTCTTGCTAGGTGCTTGCTACTCCTAGTTAAGTTACTGTAAAGTGAAGGTGCTGAGTACCTAAAAGGATCAGGCTATAATGTTGCACTTTAACGCCATTGACCTGCAGCAGTGGGAGAGAATGGATTAGAAAGTCATTTTCTGTAGAAACACACTGTTCCCATTATTTGAATGTAGAACAAAGAGTGGAAATAAATGGCCATTTAAAATACAGTGCCACTATTCCTGGCTTTATGAAATCCTTACATCAGACGCAAAGAACCATATCAGCTTCAAGAAAGTGCAGAACAAAACATAGTCTCATTTCAAGGGTAGAGACTGTGGGCTAGATCCCCAAAAAGGACTTTGGCTCAGCACTGTAGCACCTAACCCTTAGATACCCTTCCACCTAGTGGAATCCACAGCCCTGAGTTAGGTGCCCAGGCTCTGTATGTAAGACAAATTGGAGAGTTAGCTGCCCAGGAATGGGATTCACAAAAGCCAGCAGGCTGAGCAGGGAGCTGCCTCAGCTAGCTAACAGGAAATACTGAAGAGAGGGGTAGGGCTTAGGCAGGGTTCATGGTTCTTCATTCAAGGTTCACAGCCATGAACTCTCTCCTGGCGTTGGGAACCTAAGCCAGGTCAGCTCTTTCTCACAAAAAAAACAAGAGAACCCCCCCTTCTGTCCCCACCCCTGCCAGGAGCCCAGCTGTTAGCACAATTGCCAGGATGTGGAAGATCCAAGTTCCAATCCCTGTTCCCTATACAAATTGGGATAGTTTCAAAAGGAGAGACTGAGACAGTCCTACCCCAAATACCCCATAGCCCAGTGGTTAGGGCACTCTGCTGAGAGCTGGGAGACCCAAGTTCACATTCTTGCTCCAAATCAGACAGAGGGAACAAATGACCGCAGGGCTCCTGGGGGAGCAGCCTAACCACCGGGCTAAAGGTTTCATATACACAGCGGTAATCCTACCACCATTGCTTTGTGTGGGGGCTGATTGGTTAGTTAGCCTCTGAGCATGCCGACCTTAGCAGATCCCACAGTGAGTTAGCTGGGGAAAGACCTCATCTGAGGATCCTGACAGGGTATAGGCATGAGTTAGGTGCCGGGGCATCAGGACTGAGGTGATTGTGTACATGCCCAGCGGCAAATATTTAGGGGCTTAGAAGACTTTATTGGTGGAAATGTAGGTGTCTAGAGAGTTTAGGCACCTACAGGGTTAATGAGCAGCTACGTGAGGGTTTTGAGGATCTAAATTTTGACTTCAGTTCCTAAAGTGGCAGTTAGGTGCCTAAATCCTTGTGTGGAGCTAGCCCTGTATTAACGGTGGGATTCTATAATAGAAGATTTGACTGTCATGCTCTTGCCTACTACCCGGTGATGACACCTTGTACTGTACTGTTCATTAATTTATATGTTTATTCTATGTAGAATGAGGTCTAGCATCGAAAACAGAACAGCCATAGTTGCTATAGTGCGATCAATGGGATACAAAACATTCCCTCTGCTGTTGCAGGAGGCGAGGTGAAGAATCTATTTTCCTTCTGGAAACTGGCTTGACTGGCAGTTGTTGAGGCACTGGCCCTCTAGAACAGCCAGTTGCCATCTTTACCCCATTGGCTAGTTAAAAGATGGTGCATCTGGACTGGTCCATCTATAGCTGCTAGGATAAGGTCTGTGATATAAATGCACAATGACAACATGTGCAGTGAACAAGTATTTCAGAGACCCAGACTACTCATACTGGAGTTGAGTTCTGCTAATAGTGTCAAAAAGAGTAAGAACAAACCCTTAATGGAAAGTGACATACCTATCTGTCTATCTATCGATGCCTCTTTTAGATGCATGTGACATTTAGAAATTATATTCTATATATAGTGAAATCCATTGTAGGCACCTACTTGTGGACCTGAAAAGGCAGCTGCCTAGAGCATGTTGGTGTTCGTATAAAGCTGAAGTCAAATTGTACACTGAATATTTGCAAATTGTTCTTAAGACAGTTTGTCTACGACAGGCAGCTTCTTGTTTTATTTTCACTGAGACGCTGATACATCCTAATCTCTTGAGCTGAATTATTCACTCGATCCCACCATTCTTACGGCTTCTAAACTCAGTCCAGAATTTTTTATTGCTCTATCACTCAGAATTGGTTTTGTGTGCACGCCTACATCAGGAAGTTCAAACAGAAGCATGGGGGAGATAGTTGAAATGTTCTGCAAATCTAGTCAGATACTTCTCTCAGAAAAGCCTGTAAACACGTTGCACCGTTTCTGCTGTTGCTCTGCCATCAGGCTCAGACGTGTGCCGATTTTATTTTTTACACTTGCAAAGCAGAACACATTAAACAAAAGAAAGTAGAATTAAGGCAGTTTTCAAAAAAAAGAAAAATTCAGGTTATTTGCCGCCTTAATGTTGAAAGGCATTTTTGGATGTGCTGTGGGGAGTCAATTTCACTCAGTTTGCTAAAGCTGTGTAAAAGTATGCCATTTCAAACCGCTATCTCAAACTGAGTCTTGAGGCCATGGTTCAATGCATTAACCAGTCTCAGACAGTGTTCTCAGTTAGTGAACACAGACTGACTGCTTGAATTGCTCCAGCCTGCAAACCTCAGGCACTCAGCCTCTCTTTCACAATCCAAACTGTGCCCCCTAACCTTCCCCTCTCCTGTGTGAGGCTCCCTTTAACAGCTGGAACTTGAACCTGTTGGAAAACTTCAGGGGTTAAACTAATTCCACCCTCTAAACAGAAGTGTTAGGATTCCCTGTGAGACCTTTCTGCTGGGTTTATCCAGAACCACTCATCCAGTTCTGGGAGGACACTTCATCCACTTCTCAGGGATCCAAAAAACTCAGTTCGACTCCAGCCTGTCACTCAGATTATTGTGTTAGACATGCAACAGCTCTTTGCCTGGGCTGGCCCGAGAACCGGTGATTTATTTACAGGGGGCAACCACAATTCCAATTCATGTTGTACACCATAAAGTTTGTATACATCTTCCCTAGCCCCTAACATCTATACTTCTTGCATTAAAGACCAATTGCTTTGCAGATTGCGTAAGGCAAGCTTGGATGCAGTGTTGGCCCCAGGATATTAGAGAGACAAGGTGGGTGAGGTAATACCTTTTACTGGACCAACTTCTGTTGGTGAGAGAGACAAGCTTTCAGACTTACACAGAGCTCCTCTTCAGGTGTTTCCCAGAACCTGAAGAAGAACTCTGTGTAAGCTGGAAAACTTGTCTCTATCACCAACAGAAGTTGGTCCAGTAAAAGATATTACCTCACCCATCTTGTCTCTCTAAAGCAAGCTTATCAGTTCAGGGATTTTCTGTATACTTTATCTATTCTAAACAGATCCACAATAGTTAGTTTAGTTAGTTTTTGCTTCTCTTATTTACAAAAATGTATTCACAATAGTTAGTAGTTTCAGCAATTACTTGTCTCGGCTTGTTCAGCAGTTACTTGTTCAGACACGTCTTATCTTAAGTTGGGCCTGCTCACATCAGCTAAGCCAGCCCTACAGGAACCTACCGTGTTCAGTTTCGAGACTCATCAGAAAGCAAACTCTGCAGCTCTAGGATTTTTTGGACAGTGGCAGGGTCATTGATTACTCTTAATGACCCGAGTATTTGTAACAAGACAAACTGTAGAAAAATAAGATGCAGTGTGATGTACATGATAAAGTGCTGGTTTTTATCTGATTGCTTTAAAACTATTAGCAGATAATAGATCAAGTAAATAATCGGCAAATGACGGCTAGTTTTGTCAGTACTTTGTGACCTGAACCACCACTAACTCCATCTCTTTTCTAATTTCAGCAACTGGACCTTCATTCTTGTCCAAAGCCAATTGTGTTCATCATTCATTCCTTCCTTTCAGCTAAGATTACAAGACTTGGTTTGGTGGCATAAATTACATCGGTTTCCTAAAAGAAAAATGAAACTGTCATGCTAATCTGAAGTACAATCAATAGAAGACACCTGTAGCTGCTAGCAATGTACAAAAGATTGGAGTTCAATGCAAGGACTTCAGCTCTGGTGATTCTCCAAGGCCCAGCCTTCATTTTGATCAACTACAAAGGAGGCACACACCGAAAAAAACCAACAGATTTTAGACTCAGAACAGTCGTTTCCGTCACTGTCAGTTGCAGGAGACAATAGCATAGCTCATTGTAAACAATGGCAAAAATGGAATTTTACAATGTTAGGAATTTAAAACCACATACTGTACAGTGGAAATGAGTATAGTACTGTATGTGTAAGCATTTCAAAATCATAAATCGTGCCTATTTCAAAGTAGTGGTTTATATAGAGTAAGTAAGGGCTAAGCAGATGCAAGACTGGGCCCTTATCAGTCGGGATTCAGAATAAGGCTTGATATTTGTTTCTCTTTTTTGATACTACGTGAAGTGGTGGCTTTACGAAGATTAAAAAAAAAATCAGTAAAATATTACTTTAATCCCAGTTGATGTGCTATTTAAATATCTTGCTGTTCCATAAGAAGGAGTCATGAGAGGCAGCTGCTTTAATGCCCCGGCAGGTATGTTTTGTGTGTGCATGTACTCCAGTAGGGTACTCTAAAGCAGGAGTTCTCAATCTTTTTCTGTCTGAGGCTGCCCCCTTCCCCCCTACAACATGCTGTAACAACTCCCCAGCCCACCTGTGCCCCCAAAACTGTTTTTCTCATATGCACTAGATTAAAAGCCAGGGCCAGCATTAGAGGGTAGCAAGCAGGGCAATTGCCTGGTGCCCCACGCCACAAGGGGTCCCATGAAGCTAAGTTGCTCGGGTTCACTTTTTTGCCCTGGGCTCCACTGAGTCTGACACCAGCCCTGCTCTCTGGTTTATTTTGGCGTACCCCCAGTTGAGAACCTCTGCTCTAAAGCAACCAAGAGCTCCTTAGTGAACAGCCCAGCACCCAGTTCAGAGCATCCGGGGCATTTTCTAATGGTCCTTGTGTAATGAACATATGTGCACATTCCTGTAAGGGGCACCAAAGCAGCAGTAATCATAGGACTTTTGTTGTATAGCCGGGTAACCACAAGAGAGCGCAAAGGGGCCTGTTCAAGTGTCCTTAACTTATGAGCAAACAGGGTAAACTTTTTAAAAGAACTAACCTAAGTCCCACTGAAGGTCAGGGGCACCCAGTCACTCTTCAAAATCGGACTGAAGAGCTTTGGAAATTTTACCCACAAGGCAAGTTATGGTGCCTCACTTAACATTGTGACCTAGTAGTATGCCCTGCTGCTAAATCAGTTAAATGGAAATAGATTTCATTAAGAAACATGTGTAGCTCTGTAATAATTCGTTTAAAAATGCATTTGAGATACAGAAAGTGGCCTGAGAATTTAGTAGGAGTGGAATGAAAAACTGTTGATCACGTAGAATTTATACCACATTTAAGCTGCAAACAGAATTAACTCTTTGAAATAGATATTCGTAATGTGTTGAGGCTAAAGCCACATTTTGAAAGCCAGGCTTTTAGAAACAAGCAGAAGTCATGAATGTGATTGCTTGCAGAAGTTCAGCTGTAGCATTGCAATGATTTGTATTGCTTTTTAAACTTTACCAGTAAGCTACGTTTTAATTTAGATGTCACTCAATTGGCAAAGAAAACAAATCACATTAATATAATAAATAATAAAACAGTGATTCCATTTTAATTGTTTTCAGTTGAGGTCTTGAGCCCAGTAAATAAGTCAGATCTGTTTCCACATACATAAAGGCTTGATTTATGGTGGTTTCCATACATGTGTTAATTAGTAATAGAAAAATACTCATTTTAAATTTTTAAAGAGCTGCTGGGCTGAATTCACAAACACTGCACTGTACTTGCAAAACGTTATACCCGAGAAAGAGGTAATTTTCGAACAGTACATAAATGTAGTTATCTTCAAAGTAATTTGCCTATCTAGTAACTTTCATTTCTACCTTAATGGCACTTAATTCCACTTACAATAGGGAATTAAAACTTATTTTATTCCCCCCCCACCAAAAAAAACAAAAGTTAAATAATTTGCTATTATTTTCCATTCATGCAGTTATCTCTGGTAGATCTTTGATTTCTTCTGGTTTAGGTATGCATGATTTTAGACTGCATAGACTTTCAGGGGGGCAAGTATAGGGTTGGGCCTTTGATCATAGAATCATATTTCAGTAAAAGCCTATGCAAAATGTATCAAAAAGTAAATGCCAAGGTTTGTGAATTTAACACAGGAGGCATCTCCCCTGAAACCTTCTAGCTCACGCAATGCAAAGTGTTTTTTGTCCAAGTACAAAATGTTTATGTATTTGGACCCCTGTTCCTATAGAAATTTGAGAGATTCAAGCAGCAGCTTGTGTACTATGGATAAGAGTCAATACATATGTAAATTATACTGCACTATGTCTTTATTTCTTTAACACTTAAAGTCACTGGAATGTTATATAAACATGTATGTTCATTGTAAATAATCAGAATTCATATTAGTATCAATAATTAAATTACACAGTATGTAATCTGAGGTGCTCAGTACTATATGAAGTATAAGTGAATAACTAAATAGTTTGCAAAGAAAGTTCATATTCTATATTTATAGACAAATTAAAAATTATGGTAATTACAAGTGTTATATCTTCATCATTTACAGATTTTGGAGTGATTCATATTTGGATGGGGTTGACAAAATATGGGCCTACTCTACATTTATATGAGTATAGTTTATATTTTAGAGGGAAAATATATTTAATAAAAGTCATTTATTTGATTTTTGTGAGGTGAGCTTAATTTGTACAATAGGCTATTGAGAATTCAGTATTTACACCATTTCTGGTCTCAGGGAACATTACACTTAATTCATAAAATGTAAGTAGGTGGAAAAACACTTCTTCGCTGGCTTAAAAGTGCATTATAGTTATAGTGAGGACAATGTTCTTTAGACATGATTTTAAATGGGAGAGAAAATACACCATTATTAATGGTGTCAGCAGTGCGTTTGGTGGCCTGTGAAGTGAGCTGAGGGTCTCAGTCCAGTTCCTAGTGGACAAATAACCACATCCTAATATGCATCTCTGCTGGCAGTCTCTCTGATCACCAAGGACGGAAAGGAAAAGGCAACTCTACTACCTGGGGGTCACTGAAGGCATGTATGCAGCTGAGTGGGGAAACCTGCCGTGTCTATGAGGTATCTTTCCAGCACCTTTTCCAAGCACTAAATTCACTTTGTTTTCCCCAACACAGTTCCTGAAGCGTGTGTCTGCCTGGTGGTAGCAGTAGTGTAGTGAGAGTAGACAAATCACTGCCTTTGAACACTTCATTTTTCATCAAAAACGTGGCTGGGGAAAGAAGATTTGGTTTCCTCTCACTATTCAAATTCATAAATAATGCCTTAAATAAAAAAAACCAATGTATCTGGTCTATAAAGCCTGCTCATTTAACTAACTAGATTGTGGTTTCAGAGAGAAAGTGTTCAGTCTAGTTTAGAACAGGCTTCCCATAAAGAGAAGGAGGGGACTTTTATTAAAATATTATTTGTGAATAATTAACTTTAACTCTAAATAGAACATTCTTGAAATTGTAAAACCTGTATAGAAATATCACTAATATTAGCAAGAATAGAACATCTATACAGAAGATGTTATCAGAAAAGTACTACCATCTACATTGTATATCACAGAAAATAAAACTGATCTGATCTGTTAGGGAAACATACTGATTCTTTTATGAGACCTTCTGCTCCTTGGAAAACGCAGTATGTACACGAAGGAAGAATGTCAAGATCATGCAAATATCTAATAGTTCTCTCCTTGCAATCCCACAGAAAGAAATAAAAGTCAATTTTACTGTAGGAGGATGAATTGGCAGGAGCTGCTCACTTCAAAAGGTCTTTTGAATGTAGATGGATGCTTTGTACTTAAAAGTAACTAGTATTTTTTTTAAGTGGCCGCTGTTAAATCATGAAAAGCATTTTTATGGATTGCCAAGTAAACCACTGCCACACAACATTAGTCAACAAATGAAACTACTGCTTGCTCTCTCCACATGAAAGCAAATATTCCTATTTCTTGGAGGACATGGAGTTATGTTTGTTTTCACGACTTGTCATTTTTCTGGGCCTAGTTGCCTGATTTGGACGACAGGATCAGGCCCCTTGTACTATACTTTAAAATGATATCCATTCTGATGGCATTTCAATGGCTCAATCTTGCTCCCTTTTTAAAAAAAAAAAAGAAAATCAATTGAAACTTTGCCATTGACTTCACCGAAAGCAGAATCAGCCCCTAAAGATGTACATGCCGCCACAATATTACCATCTTTTTGCTTAGAAGTCAGAAAAATAATGAACAGATAAGCTGTGCTTTCATATAAATGCCAGAGTGATGAAACAGCCCTGAGGCAGTATTTTGCCAGCAGGGGAAAAACAATCACATAAAAGGTAACCTGAAAATTGTATTCAGTATGGAAGTTCTTGAATTCAAAGGGAAATTTATGATCAACAGCATTATCCATGATAATGTCTAAGTTAACTGCTAAAAAATATCCGCAAGATTGACTTTTTAGAGTGCACCAGCTGATTATCCAGTGCAAAATCTTAAGATAACGAAATTGAACCGTGCAGCATGTTAGATACTTATAAAATAACAAGGATTACACCATTTCCTCAAAGTGGACGAGTTTTTCCACGTCAAAACTGAAAAGCCATAACTGTATTTTAGTCCAGTTACAAATCCTGTGTTTATGTACAATAAATATAGGTAAGGTAACTGAAAAACGACTGCCAGACCAGAACTGAACAGTTCCTGCCTCTGAGGCAATTTTTGCACAGGGTTAAAACATATTTAAGTGGGAAAACTGTGTTCCAGGTACTCAAGCACTGTAGGAAGTAAACTCTTCCCTCTGTGCACTCACACCATTGCTCCTCCCCCCCGTGCAGCATGAAGAGAGAGAGTGGGAAGGAACTGCACATTGGTAGAATAAGACTTGTACCACATCCTGACTTGCACAAGTAGGGAAGCAAGCAACGAAAGTTATAAACACACTGCTTCAAGGTAGGCACAAGACTAGTCACATATGACCCACTCCTCCCACTGACTTAAATGGGACAGGATCAGCTCTGTTTAGAAAAAGGATGATCTAGCAGTCTTAGCTTCCAAATTCAAAAACTGGGGATATCATAATTTGTTCCACAGAGTCATTTTGAGGCCATATTAATGCAAGTTTATAAAGTATGGAAGGCACTACTCTATATAAATGCATAATGTTGTTACAGCCTGAGTTGGTAGAGCTAAATGGGACGAGTATACACTCTGGCACACCACCCCCCCATTTCAGACTGCTTGGATACCGTGGTGGTTATTAGCACAGTGTGTCTCTAACCAATGAGTTTCACTTGCTGAGAGTTATAAGTGAGTAGCCAGTTCCAGTACTGACTACGGACACACCACATGCAGAGAGAAGAGTGACTATTACACCTAATTTATACAAGCCCTCCTGCAACTAAGTACTGCATTCGTTTCATGCAGTATAAGGTTAGGAATCAGTTTCATTAATAAGGTTGTGCTTGCTCATTGTAGCAAGCCTCAGCCATTTTACAAAGTGTAGAAATTTGGCCCCACTACCTGCAGGTTAACTCCTGCATAATTAATCCAATTTTCTAATTTGCTATGTACAAAATGAGTTTACATTTTCAGCTATAAACAGTATCAGCAAGAAAACTTCTAGTATTAAGTAGCAAATGCAGCTTCCAAAAGCTACATTATAAAATTAAGGTTTGTTCAAGAGTAAGTGCAGTGTTAGTTTTCAAATTCAGATTGCTAATTTAAATTTAAACATAATGAAACTTCCAGATGCAAAATCTTTATACATTCATCAAACATTAAAAAAACATGCACATCTGCATTCAAGGGTTCTTTAGCGTATAAAGAAATAACTAACTTGATAGATCACAGTAGCACAAAGTACTTATACTCTTAAAATTGGACTGTTAATTTAAGCAAGTCTCATTAAAGTATACCTAGAAACTTTATTTCTGTTTTATAGTCGACATCGTAACAGGGTAAAAACAGAAAAGTAAAATGTGAATAGGGTAGTAGAATAAATAAGCCATATGGTCACAAATATAACTCAGCAGTTCTGTACATGCATTTTTTAATTTAAATGAACAGACACAGTGATACATTTTAAGACTTTAGCATTCCCAGTTCAGAATAAGAATCACTAAAACCTTTCAGGCCACTAACCCAAATGTTATGTTTATAGTTTTATTTCATTATAACCCTACGAGTGTAAGTGAAGACCTACCTTCTTATGGGAGGTTAACATCCTGTTCCCATCAAGATTTTTGCTAAAAAACTTATTGGGTATTTGAGGAGAGAATGTCAGGTTAAATTTGGCCTACGATTTAGTTTCAGCTCATAGAATAGAAATTTTATGAAAGTTGGAAACAGTAGAAATATTTCCATGTAATGTTTAAAAGAAAAAAATGAAAAATGTTTAAACAGCGTTTGAAACTCAACATTGTAGCGTTGTGTTAACACATCAGAACCTGACAGTGAAATTAACCCGAAGATGTAACAAAGGTGAAATTGACTAGTTTATTTCTGTTGTCTACACTGAAAAGTAGTATTACCATTTTTACTGTAAAAAGAACAGGACTTGTGGGACCTCAGAAACTAACCAATTTATTTGAGCATAAGCTTTCATGAGCTACAGCTCACTTCATCGGATGTAGCTCACGAAAGCTTATGCTCAAATAAATTGGTTAGTCTCTAAGGTGCCACAAGTCCTCCTTTTCTTTTTGCGGATACAGACTAACACGGCTGAAACCCATTATTACTGCGTACATCATGGTAGCACCTAAAGACCCATGATAGCAGGCACTGTACAAACAACCCCCCCCACTCCCTTCTTCAGCTCAGAGTTTGCCATCTACTTTAAATGATTTAGGCCTGGGTTTTCAAAAGGAGCCTACGGGAATTAAACACCTCAATGCCAATTGGATACCAACCCCTTAGATCTTGTCTACACAGAGAAATTGTGCTGCTTTTCTACCAGTATAGTTAAGGCAGTACAAAGACCCTACAGTGGGTACACTCTATATGGTATGGATGTACCTAGACCAGTGTAGCTTTTTGCTGGAAAGCCTGCTCTACAGGTTTTGTACCAATACAACTATTCCCATTAGGGGAGTGATCTGAATTCCAAAATAGTTACAAGTGCCACATCCCCTACTGTGGATTCAGTTTTATCAGTGTAAAGATACCTAGGACTGATAGCACCCATTCCCCTTCCCTACACGAATAACTATACTGGTATAAGGAACTTTTAATTTAAAGGTGTTTGTAACATAGGTCAGGATTTTCTTTTCTTTTATTTGTAAATCAGATAGTGCCACTTTAAAGCAGCCCTGGTCAGTCTCCTCCATTTTCAGATAAAATGGTTCTTGTTCTATTTAGGAAGCCACTGCTCTCAATTTCACAGCTCTCTTTAGATCAATGGTACTTTAGGACTCGTTTTTTTTACAGTGTGAAAATGCATCTCATCAAAGGGATTCTAGGAATAGGTTTAAAATATCAAATTGTTACAAGAGAACCATATGAAATGAGAACTGATACTGGAAACCCATGAGATTAAAAGACATAATCCAGATTAAGGGTGCTTGTACTAAGATTTTACAAGCCATTTTACTAAAGGTTCCTTTTTTTTATTATTGCTTTGCAGGGCAAATTCTATGGAAAGCTGTGTCTGCTTTCAAAAAAAAATAAAATAAAAATCAAAACCATAAAAAAACTGCTGTAAATGGCATGTTTGGTTTTGGGTTCATTCAAAACCAACATCCTTTATGTTTTACCTTAAGAGTGGAGAGGTTACTGTGCCTTCAACCCTAACCATAATTATATTAATCTGTAGAACAATAAGGAATTATAGCTAGTTAAATTATAAAATGTGAAAGGAGTTTTATTGCATTGTAAACCTTTCCAGTTAACTTATATGAAGAACAAAAAAGTAGTCATGTATGGAACAATTGTCTTTTCTTAAAGACTGTGAAAAAAGAAGAAATAAAATAGTCTTGTTACTACAATCAAATTTGGATTTTTTTATTACATCTAAAATAAAATCTGTACAACACATATAAAACTGTTTCTGAAAATCTAAGTCATAGTCCTTTAGATAATTAAATAGGCATATAGTATAAAATGCAATGTTCATTACAGATTTTTTTTTAATAAAAACTCAATATAAAATATCTAAAGGCCACAATACAGTATTGGATTTGGGAATTAAGTCTATGAACCAAGTTTTAAGTTCTTTTTTTTTTGTTCCCATTACCTGGCTTTATACTTTTGTTGTAATGCACTGTGCTTTCTCTATGAAGTTGGAGAAGAGGGTGTAAACTCCATTCATATGTAATGATTCATCATCATTACTTGTTAGCCTTTTCCAAAACCCATTCAATCACCTATACAAATAAAGGAGAAATCAGATTTTCAAAGTTGGTTTAATTTCAAGAACAAAAACCAAACTTCTGCAATATTAGAGATTGAGCAAGAATAACCAAAAAGTTTACTCTGACAGAAGGCAATTTTAATAGGCAATGTTTTCACCAAAAAGAAGTCAATGTGTTCAGTATATGAAACAGATACAGTCATTAACATACAACTGTTTGAATTTTTCACTCCTAAATAATTTCTTGCATTTAAAAAGGTCACTTTTTTAGGCTCAAAAGTTGACATACTATACTCCAATCTCTCCGTGCACTGGTAACAAAGTACACCCTCAATTCTAAATATCCAGTGTTATCCTTTTGAATAATTTCCTGCTTTATAAACTGAAGAACAAATGTTTTGTTTCATTGCTGGACCTGCATCTGTAGCGGCTGCTATTCCTCAAACTGGGTGGCTGAGCCTAAGTCCATACTGGTCTATTAGAGAGATTCTGGCCCACTAAAAGGCCCTGTAAATTGTTGTTGCAGAGCAGGAAAGACAGCATGGTCTAGCAGACAGAAAATCCTGAATTCTAATGCCTGGTTCCATCATTGACTTACAATGAGATCTATTTCCCAGTCTGGGAAAATGGAGAGAATACCTCCCCTTTTCCTCACAGATGAGTTTAGGAGCATTAGCGTGTAGACTACTGCTAGAAGTCAGAGCTGGTATGGAGGTGCAGGGGTACTATGCATGAGTATCCCTGGCTTACCACCTATCCTTTACAATCTGTGTGCTTGGGGGTGGATTTATCCTAGAGGACGATCGGGTGGGGCAAACACTGCGCTCGTAGAATAATCATGGAGAAACTCCATGGTGAGATCTTGCAGTTTTCCACTCAGTTAGCCCCTCCTTCAGCACGGGTTTTGCTATGGGAATGAACCAACCAAATCCTTACATTTTATTTTACAGTATAGAGAGCAAAAATGGCAAAATTCCACAGTGCTGATCATCATTACAAAGTTTATTTAATGAGGTATCCAGGATATGACTCAATGCACTGATAAATTTCTGGATAGGAGTATTTTTTCTCCAAGTACTTTCCCCATCTTAAAATTCACATGAATCTTCCTAAAAAGAACGAGGACTACTTGTGGCACCTTAAAGACTAACAAATTCCTGACACCCAAATGAGCACAGTCACCATTCTCTCAGATTTCTATTTATAATTATTCCCAGAGCTTGGATTTACCATTTCTATAATTCTTCCTTTAGAACAACTGTATTTCCTTTTATAACATAATGGTCCCCCTAATAATCCATTAGTGCAGAGAGTCCTCTGAGAAACAGAAGCTCATGTACACATTTTTCTCACTAATGTGAAAGAGAGTTTTGAGTCTTTTCCCTTATTTCAAATTTCTCTCTTTGACAGTGGCCACCCTTATTAAAACAATTTTCATAGCAAGTCAACATCTTCAACTGGAATTTTGCACTGAGGGAACTAACCTCAAAAGAACTCTCACAATACAAACTAGAGAACATAGAGAACACAACAGATGGTCTCCTCTGTTCACCCATTAAAGCCATGTACCAACCCACATTCCAAGACGCAACGGCAGTAGATTTCCCACAGCAGCGTTTGAGGAACACATTTCCAGAACATAAAGGAATAGGGTTACCTGTTTAGCATTACTGTTTGCTGTTTTCTTCATTTCATCAAACAGTCCCCTGGAAGTTTTCAGATCCTAAACAGAGAACACATCATTTGATAGAATTGCTGCCAGACAGACTTGAACATACATATACCTCCGCTGGAGCTGATGCTAACATTAAAGTTACCTGTAGGGACTTTCCCTGATTGAGGATCTCCTAGGGCTCCCTAATTGGAAAACTTGATTACGTATTTCTTTTCTGAGACTACCCTCTCTCCTAATCCATTAACAATGGGTTGTGCCTCACTCTGCAGTTACCAAAGGCCATCTAAATTTGTCACTCAAGTTTTGGGATTTAGCCTGTCCCCTGAACGCTTTCAAAGCTACAGAGATGCTCTATATGCTGTTCAAAATTCTTATAGGCCCTGACTGAACATTTAACTATAACGAGGCACTTTTACTGCACTCTTGTAACAAAGGGCAGAGCTCCAAAATAAATGTGACCAGAGGAGGTGAAATTGTGAGAGAGATCAGTCCCGGAAAGGAAAACCACCACCTTTTCTATTTTGGAGTCTGACCCCTCCCAGATGGCATGTAGCAAGCAGGTAGGAATGTAGTAGAAAGCGGAAAAGAGAACTACACTTGTATATTTCCTACACCCTTTAAGGGGAGAATATGGCCTCACCCCCAGTGGCAAACACACAATGCCACAGCACTCTTGTGGCTCTACTGCAGATGTGGGGAAGAATTCAGCGGACCCAAGCACATTTGAGCGGACCCAAGCACGTTTCACAAGTGAAACATAACTCTCTGCATTCAAATGGGCTTTTTAAGGGGTAAGGCAATCAGATTTACAATTACATAGGTCCAGCAGCTACTCCTCCCTTCAGTGTCCTGTGTGGGAAGGAGAGGACCCTATACCCCATCCATCACCTCTCCACAGTCTACAGCCCGCCACCTCTCCATAGTCTATAGTCCAACAGTCCATAGTCCAACAGTCATCCAGGCTGTTGGTTAAGGATAGAATTTGCCCCTTACTACTCTGTTCCCTAAACCTCTAGGGTAACATTTTCAAAAGTGCCTATGTAATCTAGGAGCCTAAACCACACTGACTTTGAAAGTCACTTAGGCACTTTTGAAAATTTTACCCCAATTACTTCTGAAAACTGAGGGTAACTGAAAACAGAAGGCTGCCTGGTGAAAAGTGTTGGATTGCCGTGGAGTTCTACAGAAAGTTCACAGGCACTTTGCTGAGCAATGCCATGGAATCTACAGTTCCAGCTACTCGCACAAATTCTCTTCCTTTTCAGCCAATAGCTTTGGAACGGTTGAGAAAGGAAGGACATTACAGCAAGAAGTGAAGATTACAGACTCAGCATGAAGTTTATTGACATCTCCCTCTTCACCTTGTAATCAATGGGCTTTGTCCAGAACAATGAATGTGCTCTTCATTGTCACAAGTGAAACATAATGGTCTCCTAAAGCTTTGTATAAGTAAGGGCAAGTTTTTGAAACCTCTGCAATCAGTGTTTAGATTAGATTCTAAAAAGGGAAAGAAAAATACATAAAGTGCTAGAGACAGACTGATTATTACTGCAAGTCAAGTCAAGAGAGGGCTTCTGATGATAAAACAGCATCTTTACTTGTCTCCAGACTGATGATCGGCCCTGTTATCCATTGAGGGAACCCAAATATAAAGTGCAAAATAACTGCAGCACAATATAAGGCATTGATAAGACTACTTTTGAAGGTAAGGGCATGTTCAACAGGTATAAATAGCAGTGCATTTACACATCAGATTGATGTAAATTGGTAGGGTAATCTGCATCCATTAAATGCCCAAACAGGTGTGCAAAGCATGTGCAATGTATACATAGAGGTGACAGAAGGGGTCCTACATCATCTTCTTGGTTGTTTTTCTTGCTCTATCTCATTGTTCTGTCTCCTCAAGATATGTTACTCCTACACAACATTAACTCAGTACAAGTTACTCTACTTTACCACAGGCACCCAATTACACACTGGGAAAATGGGCCTAATTTACATCACTGAAATTTCCATATCTTAGAACAGGTCAATATTTGGCCCAGTTCACTTGTCTTGTTGGAGAGGGCAGATGAATTACGAAGAGCAAGCCTTGCTAACCTTTCTTGTGTAGAATAGAAACAACAGATGGTCATGGGTGATTGTGATTTACAACCAGTGGCTGTGATTTACAACAGTAGCTCCAGCTCTGTTGATTTACACTTGTTGACAGCTAACATTTTATTTTCTCAACACCGTCACTAGGAAATAGGGATACTGTGAAGTCTGGACCTCAGAGAATCAGATTTACCAGTTACATGCAGGGTGATCGGATTCTTGTTCAGTTTTATAATTTTGCTTGCCCTGCATCTTGGAAGCACAAAACATGCATTCATGTGTCCAACAGCAGACAAACTTAGCTCTGGATCCTCCATCACATGGTCGTGTAGAGCGATTTCCCTTTTACAAGTTTTCAGCAAACAGGATGCAAATAGAGCTAAAAATATATTTTTCAAAAAGTATAATATTTGGAGCTGTCGATCTCAATCATCATATCCCTTTAAACGTGTTAATCCTGGATATAGTTTTGGTGGAGTAACTATGTACAATTGTGGGAGCAAGAGGGGGAAAAAAAAAAGTACCTTTAAATAGAACTTGGATATCTCAAACAAACGCTGGCTGCATGATGCAAAGCATTTGTGGTTCTCTGCAATGCCGTGTTTCTTAAGTGTTTTAGCAACCACTTCTGTCAGCATCTTGGAGACAACACAGGCACACTTAGGAATTAGGATCAATTATCACCATGACAAGCTTTCCAATAGCCCACTTTTAAAGAATAAACCCATACATAACTTCTTGCCCTTCTGCCCCAAAGATTAATTTTAGGGAGGCAGCTTGGTGACTTGAACTGAGTATGGGACGGGGAGACTGGAAATCTTCAGTTCTAGCCTTGACTCTGCCACTAGTTCATTTTGCAGCTTAGGGCAAAGTTATTTAACAGTTTCCGTTTCCTTCATCTGGAAAATGAAGAGAATACCTACTTCACCTGAGTGCTGAGGATAAATTAACATTTACATAGTGCTTTGAAGACGGAACACTATGTATAGCTGCTAGGCATTATTTAAAATAAAGTGATATATATTGTATTTTCCTGCTTCACATATCCATGAGGGTAATGGAAAATCCTCATTTTCATATTTTTCACAGATTCATAGGGTTTAAGGCCAGAAGGGACTATTAAATCTTCTAGTCTCACCCCCTGTACATCACAGGCCATTAAGTTTCACACAGTTACCCCTGTGTGGAGCCCAACAACTTGTGTTTCAGAAAGGCATCCAGTCTTGACAACAAGATATGAAGAATCCACCACTTCCCATTAGTTTGTTCCAATAACTGACCACCCTCACTGTTGAACATCTGTGTCTTATTTCTAATTTGAATCGGACTGGCTTCAGTTTCCATCCACTGGTTCTTGCCTTTCTCTGCCAGATTAAAAAGCCCTTTAGTAGCCAATATTTTCTCTCCATGACAATACTTACGTGTTGTAATCAGGTCTTTCAGTCTGCTTTTTGACAAGCTAGACATATTGACCTCTTTAAGTTTCTCAATGTATGTCATTTTCTCCAGCTCTCAAATAATTTTCTTGGCTCTTTTTGGCCTCTTCCCCACTTTTTCAACACGTTTCTTAAAACGGGGACACCAGACCTGTACACAGTATTCTAGTATCTATCTCACCAATCCCAAGATAAAATCACCTTCCTACTCCTATTTGCTACTCCCCTGTTCATACATCCAAGGACAGCATTAGCTCTTTTGACACATCACCACACTGGGAGTTCAGGTTTCAGAGTAGTAGCCGTGTTAGTCTGTATCGGCAAAAAGAACAGGAGTACTTGTGGCACCTTAAGAGACTAACATTTATTTGAGCATAAGCCTGTCCACTATGACACTCAGATCCTTTTTGGAGTCACTGATGTATAGGATATGGTCCCCTATTCCATAGGCCTGCATTCCTTGTTTGTAGATGCAGAACTTTGCATTTGGTTGTATTAAAACACATTTTGATTGAATGGGCCCAGTTTACTAAGCAAATTTTAACAGCATTGATTTTATATATAGTTTCAAGTCATTAATGCAAAAGCTGAGTAATGTTGAGACTTAGACTAATCCCTGTGAAACCCACTGGAGACAGACACCCCCATTTGATGAGGATTCCCCACTGATGACTACTGTGAGCTCCTTCAGTTAGCTTGTTCTTAATGCATTTAATGTGGGCTCTATTCATATTGTATAGTGTTCATTTTTAAATTATAATGTTGGGTGGTAGTAAGTGAAACACCTTACAGAAGTCCAAGTATATTACACTGTTATTACCTTTATCAACTAACCTTGCAATTTCATCAAAGAATGAAATCTGGTTTGTCCATTAAGACCTATTTTCCGTAAAACCATGCTGACTGGCCTTAATAATAACCCCATCCTTTATTTTTTATGTATTGAATTCCATACCAGGTTTTCCATTTACTTGCCTTGGATTGACTTCAAGGTAACCAGCCTATAGTTATCCAGGTCATCCATTGCTGATTTTGAATACTGGTACATTAGCACTCTTTCAGCACCTCAGTACTTTGCCTGCCCAGCTTCCCTTCTGGCAAACAGATTTGAGGGAGGCAAGGAGGCTGAGCGCCCCAGCTCTCTTCCTGCCCCACATCCTTGGCAGCCTAGTTATCTCTCTGGCAACTAAGAGGTAGGGGAAGCGATGGAAAAATGGGGTGCTCACCCTTCAGCAGTCAGCTGGGAAGGCTTGTCAATTTCATTTTCTGCAGGCAGAAAGCCAAAAGGCTACATTTTGGTTCTTCCAAGATGGAATTTTCCTGGAAATCCCTTTCTATGAAAAATTCCATGTTTTTAACTTTTCATTGCCATTTGGGATGAAAAAAATTTTTTTTTCCAGAGTAAAATTTTTTCACAGGAACAGCTTTCCATTTCCAGATGGCTCTAGATACAAGCACATCATCCTGCTTCTTTCCAAATACAGAAGAGAAATATTTACTGAATACTTCTTCCTTTTCTCCATCTTTAACAGTAACACCATCTCCTTCTAGTAACTGGCCTATATCATTGCTAGGATTTTTGTTCCTGATATTCCCCATCCCAAAATCTTGTTATTGTTCTTAACTCTGCCAACCATGGACCCTTCCCCGATATCTGTCTTCCCTTATCAAGTTTCTATATTTCATAACTTCTAATTTATATTCATTTCTATTTCCCCTTTTTCACATCTGTTATCTATTGCTGTTTGTCTCTTTCTCTTTCTTTGTTTCTTGGGCACTCTACTGTGTGTACTAAGTTCTTTTCTGACAGTCCTGCAAGCCTTACTTATGCAAAACTTCTCTTGATTTCTACAAATTTCCCTTGAGCAGAACTAAATAATAAAGATTTGGGGACTGGTCCCATGTTTTGAAAGAGGCTAAAAATGGGGAATCTTATCTTTTGGGAAGGGGCAGGTATCAGGGGGGTGGGGGGAGACAAATATAAATATATAGATATATTTACCCGTATATGTTTCTGAGATCTTGATTCCTTAACTGGCTTTGAAGTTTCTGACTCTTGCACACATCTCTGACTTGCTGGGCCAGCCTCTGCAGTTACTTTGTTGGTCTGACCACTAGGCTGCTTAACAGACGCAGATTTTAGAGACAATGATCTGCCTGGCTGTTGTCTTATGACACGTATTGAATGGTGACCCACACTACTTCCGCTTGCCTGAGACAGGAGAGAATCTGTGCTTTCAGTTTTTATTAGTCTGGAGGAAAAAAATTTAAAAAATCAGATAAGTGTTTATCGTCTTGCTGGTTTTGTCTCAACTATAAATGGCTACTATAACTGCTTAAAATATTAAAGATATGCAGTACATTCAAACAAATGGAGGCTGAAAATGGTGAGCAGTGACAAACTATTAACAAAATTTCTTTCCCCTACTAAGTGAGGAAGACTCTCTTCCCTTACCTACTAATGATTTGTTCTCCAACAGTTAAACCAGAACAGAGTGAAGGAGTCTTTTGTATAGCAGATGCTACAGAAAAAACAGAGTTTGGAACAAATCACAGAGGAGGACAGAGGGACAGAGGAGACGCATGCAAATTAAAGGTGGACACAAAAACTGCAGGAATTTCTTCCCTCTGCCCCCATCCCAATTGAAAAAACATCCTTGTTTGACACATTCTCCCATGTGGAGCCTCTCCCTGTTAAGCCAGTAAAAATGAAGACGAATAGGCCTGCCAAGTCACCAAGTCCAGTGTTTTATTCTTCTCATGAATCTAGACCAAGACAGGGTCAAGAAGAGAATGCTTGAAACTCCTAAGGTAAGGGCTCAATCCAGTGAAATGGAGAACAACCACAATTCCACTTCTTACTATTTATACAGAACACCAGAATCTGGCAGCGTCTTTGCTGAGGAAGTATATTAAAATCCCCACTGGACACAATCCCTGCTTGAAGAGCAGGTGTGCAACAACAAGAGTGTAACTAACAATTGGAAGGACAGGATGGGAAGAATTACAGTAATAAGATCACACAATTGTTCAGCTGCGGCATATGCACTCGCTGATGATTTTACATTGATGCAAATGATATAAAAATGCTTCTTGTGGGGCATTCTAAAAAACTGGGTTTTTAAAGGATTTGAATGAGGAGAGGGTCAGGGCTGGGTGAACTGGAACTTCAGTGGGTCTTCTCTACTTAAACTGTGAACTCTATTGGCCGTGGTCTGTATTATTCCAGGTTTGTACAGTCACCAGCACAATGTGCTGAGGACTCTCAGTGCTATTTCAAAACAAATAATTTCAGTGGCTACTAAGCGCATTTTGGCACCTCTCAAGAGGCACTCAGCACCTTGCAGGATGCAGCCCTCAATTTCTTAAATTAAAATGCCTTAGGTTTATGGTTTTAATGCATCTAATATAGTCAATGGGAGGTCACACTTGAGAAATAGCAAATTGATAGAAGAGGGATTAAACATTTAAATAGATAGATGCTTTAAAAGAAATCTTAATTTTTTAAATTTTACTTAGTGCATTACCTCTTGTTGGAATGAAAGCAATCAAAGTCTTTTGATCTGCGTTTTAGCCTTGATGCTTCTGTTCTGAGTTCACTTTGTAAAGATTCCCCATCTGGGACACTTCCAGGCTCTGACAAAACTGCAGGAGATGGAAGAGGGCTCAAGACACATGGTACAGGACAGCACTCTTTAGTACACGTAGTCTGCGTTTCATAGCGAATTAGACGAGTCTGAAGTTCAGCAAATTTCACATCTCTCTCTAAAGCTTTTCTGTTATCTAGACAGTATCTAAAATTGAAATAGGAAAAAAAAAAAAACAAACACAAAACCAGTGACCATTGTAACAGAGCTGGGGAATTTTTTCCCATTAGAAAAACTGAATAATCATGCTTAAGTTTTACTATGGAAATGTCTGCAGTGCCTCTTTACTTGAACTGCTAGGTTGCCCTTGACAACTGCGTTGAATGACCTAACAAACTAGCTTACATGAGAGACACTCTCATGGATTCTGCTACATTCAAGTCAACAAGATGAAGTTGGGTTACATATTTAATAGGGGCCAAATCCCACTATCCTTACTCGGTTCTCTCTAAGGTAAAATTTCCGTTCAAGTCAACAGAAAGTTTACTTGAATTATTGAATGCAGGATTTGGCATTATGGAAGTCTTGTTTCTCCCTTTAGCACATACTGGGATGTTGACAATAGAGCGTGTTTCTCTTATAAATATAATCAGGCTCTTGTTAAATATTTAAAGTTATCAATCCCTTTGCTTTATATTTTATTGAAAGCTTCCTGCCATGTGACAGACATTTGCATTCTAGTAATGCATTAAGCTACGTGACTTTCAGATACAAGAAGGATTGTATTAGAATCTATATAGTATAGATCTCATAGAGAAACCATCTTCACCCACATCAGGTACTCTTTTTCAGAGTGCAAGGATTAAGATTAGGGGCAAGAAAAATCATGTTCAAGCAAAATTGGCAACACAACCTGAGCAGTATACTTCAGTTCCTTTCCTCGAACCCTTTTTACTCACCTCCTCCAAAACTACAGTATTTTAAGTGAGCTTTCAGAGTTTTATGAAAGTCTATTTCTATCTACTCTATCTCAGGAATTTCTAGGGAGCCCATCACTCTGTTAACTAGGTCCATGTTATTCTTTCTCCTCCTCTCACCCACACCTCAAGTGCTCTTCTTGAAGACATCCATAAAGTGCCAATACGAGTGATAAAATTATACCACATAAATCTATAGTGCTAAATCACTGAAATTTGTCATCAGATTAGGATGCAAAACTGATGGTTTATTGTTCAGCCCTTTCCTGTATTTTAGGATGTTTATTCTTCTTAAGAGATGTATAAAGTCACATGTGTAAAAAACAAACAAACAAAAAAACAAAAAAATGGGGTTTTGTGCTGAGATGCAGGGCTGTGTGTGTTTGGAGTCATTGTGTGTGCAGTTTGTTTTGTTGTGTGGGTGGTTGTGTTGACTTGTGTGTGAAATTTTTGCATGCAAATAATCTGTAGAGGAAGGGTGATGTGTTCTCATAGCTAATTCAACCAAATTGCCAAGAACACTTGGCATGGCACAGATCCTTACTGTAGCTGTACACCACACAGGTGTAATCTGTAAAGTCAACATGGCTGAGAATTTAAAATTGGACAGTAACAGACTGTGATGATTCAACCTGGTAATGTTCTGAACAAGAAGAGCTTTCAACCATGCTTGCAGCTGTTTCTGTCGTTTCATACTGATTCAACAGACATGCTAAACTTCAGAGTGACACACACACTGACATTCCTGGATTATTATATAGATACATACAGCAATCTTTACCACAAATTTCATTTACATTAAAAATATTGTTATAAACATATCTCATGACTATTCAGCTGAAAATATCTATGATTTGATCTGAAGTAAAACCATATTTTAATTTAGACATTTAACTATGCAAATGAAGCATCTCCCTCAGAAGCTACAGGCCTGAATATAGATGCAGTAAAGTTAAAGCAGTACAACTTGTGTGTGTATAGACAATGCCAAAGTCACATTCTTCATGATCATCAAGGAGACAGGAGTATAGCACTTGATACCAGTCCAGAAAGTGAGGGTAAAGAAAACAGAAGAGGTTGTGGGTTTCTGGTTTTTTTGGGGTGGGGTGTGGAGGGAACAAAAAACATGTTATGTTCAGGACTAAAACCATTTAGTAAATGTCCGAAACATATTTGTAAATCTACTTCTCTATAAATAGTATCCAGGTTGCATAAAGTGGGTCCCACCTTAACTTGGGTTTTATGCTAGATGACAGTGTTGAGAAAACAATCACATCAAGCAGTGCAAGGAAACTTACTCAAGCCCATGATAATGGCACCCAGCTGCTTTTTCAAAAGACAGACCTCCCAGCTTCAGTGGAGTAAGCTCTGGTGTCAGAAGAAAAGCATTTTCACTAAAAGAAAAGAGTATGTATTTTAAATTAGATCTATACGTTAGTATCTAAATTGCCATTTGGTTTAGTGAGCACTTTGATTGAAGCCCAATACGAAGCTGTGTATTGCGATCTCACTGTAACTGACCTGTGCGTAAGAGTCACTAAATTAAAAAGCTATTTCAAAAGTTAGTACTGAAAGCACAGGCAACTACAAATTAAAACCTTCTTCTGGGCAGACTAGATGCTACACTGTACATACAAAAGCTTACAAATGGAAAAGAATTACGTTAGGAATTCATGTACATTTATATCTACCTTCTAATGCAGTACAAACTATGGACAGGCAACCTACTGCTACCAATGCACAACCTTCAAGTATGAAACTCATCTGCTGGTATGCAAATATCAATTGAAAATACAGGAAACTATTATAATGACTTGTGAGATACTTCCTCATTAAGAATATGCAATGTGAAAACATTTCACATTAGTATATTGCAAAATGTTGATATTTGCCATTTTTGCCTCAGACTAAATAGCTTCAGCATTTCTGAAAAAATATGTTTGACCACGCAAAACCAATACAAATATATTTTAATATGTTGTCATTTTGTAGCTTTGACCAATCACCACCATATTAAGGTGCTGAAATTAACTTAAACGGTAAAAACTAGTCAGAGTCATGTTGCAGCTCATCATAACTGATGCAGAATCCATGATAGTGTACTATATCAACTGAACTGTGAGCCCCAAACTCATGGTGCAGCTCTGCAGCAAGGCTTATGTGCAACGGTGTGATAATTTTGGAACTGTTAAATACTACGCACTCTGCAATTGAGAGGCACCTTCTTTGAATGTCTTCTGAAGGATGACACTATTGCTGGCTGAATTATATTTCTCTGTACTTGTCAACCAAAGGACAAACTCGTGTACCAACTGGAGCACAAAAGTAGCTGACCTCTGTATACTACAATCACCGGGCTTTGGATAATATTCTGAGGATTTCACTGTGGCTATTTCTGACCGAAGGACTGAAGTGGCATTATACAAAACCACATGTTCATCAGGCTCAGTCACCAGAGCAACATCCACAAATCATATGGATGACTTAAATTCCTTCTTCAGATTACCCCTGTCAGAGGACCCACATAAGCCATCTCCTGAGTGAATATCCAAAGCTATGAAAGAAAGAAGTGGACTAGCAAGAAGTACTGAAGACAAAATCCACAAGCCAATCCTTGCCTCTGCAATGAAGAGGGATGAATGTTACAGTTCTTACCAATCATGTCATCAACAACATGAAAAACCCATTTGATTCTGAATCACATCCAGAGGGGCTTATCAACGTATCTACGGGACTGCATGTAACATCAGATGTACAAGAGTCTCTACTGAAAATAGTAGATGTTGGTGAAGAACAAGCAGAGTGATTTCTGAGCAACGCAAATGATTCTGATGGGACATGTAACTTCTTCAGCCCAGTCAAGAAAACTGGAATCAAAACATTTGCTGACATGGCCAAAAATATAAATTTAGCAAGGGAGGGACAATCACAGCTATCAGTCCAGAAACTGTTTTCCACAGAGCCCTATCCTTAGCAAGATTCAGAGATGATGTTTCAATGGCAACTGTTCTTAGTCTCCCACAGGACCTGTGCTTAAGTCCCTCTTCCATGCCAAAGGAACAATGAGAAGAACAAATGAAGCTGAATTAGGGCATCAGCTGGAAGCTCAAGCTGAAAGAATCCATGAGCTAAAAAGGCACAACAAAGAAACCACAGTGTACATCAGAGATGCCACGACTGACATACCTGGAACATTTCCGAAGGCAGCACAAAAAGTTATTGATTGTTCTGGAGACCAGATACAAAACCTTTTAGGTTGTGTGAGCAGCTGAAAAGACAGCTGCTAGAAGTCCTTATCAAGAGGTCAGACACCTGGTGGGCGAAGGCAGAAGGTAAGAATGAGGTGGAATGCAAACCAGAGACATGGTTCCCTCTCTTTCTCCCTAGCACAGCTGAATATGGTTAGCATTGAGAGAAGTGACCGTGTTACAGTGAGTTCTTTGCCCTGTGGCTCCCATTTAGGAGATAGTCTTCTGTCTGTGAGACTTGGCATTTACTCCCCATACACCCCCAAGGATTTCCCCCAAACCAGAGAAGAAATGGGGTTGTGAGGACAGTAAAAGAGCATAAACTTGGGGTGGGCAGGATAATGGATAGGGGAAAGGGAGCTTATACTGGAGGGAATAGATGTGATACTTAAAATATGGGTCCCTCTAATATTTACTCCACTCTACTCTGGTGTGTTTAAACCCCTCTCCTCTAGTATGCAAGACTATAGTGGGATAGCCCTGCTATTACCAGCAGGAGAGTGAGTTTGTGTGTGTGGTTTTTGGAAAAAAAAAAAAAGGAGGGGGGGGGGTGAGAAAACCTGGATTTGTGCTGGAAATGGCCCAACTTGATTATCATACACGTTGTAAGGAGAGTGATCACTTTAGATAAGCTATTACCAGCAGGAGAGTGGGGTGGGAGGAGGTATTGTTTCATGGTCTCTGTGTATATAATGTCTTCTGCAGTTTCCACAGTATGCATCCGATGAAGTGAGTTGTAGCTCACGAAAGCTTATGCTCAAATAAATTGGCTAGTCTCTAAGGTGCCACAAGTACTCTTTTTCTTTTAGTGGGATAGCCCATCTCTCAAAACATTAAAATTAAATCATTGCAAGCTGAGGCAGACTGGAAGAAAGTCTGATAACATTAATCAATGTGAAATTTTAAATCACTTTCCAAGAAGCACTGTCTAGCTTTTTATGTATCTGTTTTGCACAGCAGAACACATATTTAGTTCATGGTATATCAAACTATCAAACCTATGAACATTCTAGTATCTGATACTTGTGTACATGAGAACATAATTAGATACCCAATTCGTGTATGTTTACTATAGTACAATCGTTTTCTATGCAGTCAGTTATAATGCTATATGACAAACATTTGTAATATGTTTCAGTGAATTAGTATTCCAAGTAGAGCATGCTACTATAATAACAGAGGTCATTATCAAATAAACAGGAATGTAGATTAATGCTAAGATTCCAAGTTTATATCCAAGACAGCTTAGTAATTCATTTTTTTAGAAGAAAAATAGTTCAGAGAATATTTTAGCCAATAGCTAACCTCTACATAAACTGTTTGACAACTTAATATAACAACACTGCATGGAAATTTTAGATTGTAAGATCTTTAAGGCACAACCCATTTGTTCCTATGTATCTGTACACTGTTCAGCACAATGATCCCATTCCTAATTGGATCCTCTGAGTGCTATGGTAAAATAAATATTAAAACAACAGTGAGGGGTTTAAACATTGTAGAAATATTGGTAAGCCTACACCTGATTCTGTATATATAATCAGGATACAGATCACCAAGTCATCACAGTGAAGAGAGCTTTTAGACGACATGAAACCTCCACGCGCCTTGTGAGATTCATTACTTTTAATCTTAAGAGCTGCTTTACGGGCAACACAATTTTCTTTAACTATTTATAGTTTTATTCACACAATATAGAGGAATGTAGTTATAAAATTCAATGGACTGAACAAATGTTTATTCCTCTTAAGAGAGGTACATAAATCTACATTAATATGAGAGTTTCAGTAGATGTTTAGATCTAAACTATTTGTATATTCTAACAGCAAGTGACTAGAATCACAATGCCCCCGGTATCACAGAGCCAACTCTGTGCATTAAGAGTACTCTCCTGTAATATGCTAAGATAGCAAAGATAATTAGGAGGGGAAGACCATCAGGGAACAAGGGGAAGAGGTATACCGGAGAGGTGACTGGGAGAAACAAAGCAGGCTAGTGAACAGGAAGAGAGTAGGATGCAGCCATGGACCAGTAGAAGACCAGATGTAGAGGCAACATTTCTGTATGACATTACTTTTGATAGCTGCTATTACGGTGCTGTTCTGTGCATGTACCCTTCATCTCTATGCTGTTCCATATCTTCTAGAGGGGAACAGTGCTACACTTTACATTCAAAAGTAGGGAGTTTAAAATAAAAAGTATGATAGAATGATTCAAGTTTATAGGAAAACATCTCTGTTAAATTTTAATGAAGTAGCTTGTGGTTTTTACTGGTTATTGGAAACCTATCAGTTTTTAAAAGAGCAAGCAAAACCTAAAAGAACAGGAATCCTATTTATTTTTAAAGGGAGTTTCAAAGTGCTCTTTTATGCTAATGTAGTTAAAATAAATACTCTGTTTACCACAGAGGACCTCTGCTGCTTCTTTGTGTTTGTGTTTCATGAGAGTTTAATCAGCAACAGCTCCATGGGGTACTGTCTCTATGTACTAGTAGCATGGACTGCTGGAGCTCCTGTGCCATGATAATGTTTAGTGAGGACTAGTGATGCACCAACACAGTTAAGGCTGCTACTCCCTCCTCCCCCCTTTTTTTAATTAACAAAAGCAAACCAATTAAATTGTATTTTAATAGCAGTGGGGGAAATGTGCAGGCTGAAGAGTGCCAAACATAAATAAAAAGTATGCTCCTGCTGTCCTTATGGGGGCATGACTCCCATTGAATTCAATGGAGGTTGAGAGTGCTCTTGTTCAGGACAATTATGATTCATATAAAAAAGGCAAAGAGTTATATGCTGCCTAACGAAAATGTAAAATATGCGCATCATTCCTGTTCTTGCATTCTTATTCTTCTTCAATACATACAGCAAGATTAACCCAAATTTAAACTGGAAAAGAATAGAGCAATTGTTTACATTTAAAAGCAAATATGGGAAGTCTTTGGGCCAATTTTGAAAATTTGGCAACTTCAGCCAGGTACCTAAATGAGAGCTGAGCTTCTTTCTCGGCGGCAGTTCGGCAGCGACGCTTCTTCCCGCTGCCACGTCTCAATGGCGGGGTGTCTGGCGCCCGCCACAGTCTTCTGGGAATAGGAATATGCTATTCCCACAGATAGGTTGGGGGCCACTGGGCTAGTGATTTTTTTGAAA